TTTTTTTGCAATAACTTTTTTGTTTATTAACCGATTTTAATTTAACCAGTCTCATTTTGTAGATAATTTTACTCCCTATAAGCTGTCTGAGAGTCACTTTTCGCTAAAATTGATGGTTTTCCCTGCAAAGTGAAAAAACTGTTTTCCTCACTTATTTGTTTAAATAGAAAAGTTAACTAATAAAAGTTTTTGACTCACGAGATGAGAGATGTCTTGTATTATGTTCCTTTAGACAATTTTACAATAATCTTGCAGATAGGACTTTTTTCGAGTTTCTCTTTTATTTTTCCTAATTTTCCTGGTGTGATAGCATAATGTATACCTATACATGACAAGGACAGTCAACTTACAAATCAGGGAGACTAGGCAAGGAGCACGAACTCGTACGGGAAAATTGACAAAATTTGTCCAAGAAATGGCAGAAGTTGGGGTGGCGCTAGTGCTCCATGTGTCCCGAAGTGAATGTAGCAAAATAAATACGAGTGAAGTAAGCAAATAACCAATTTTATTTTATAACGAATTGAGTAGATATATTGGGAAGGTATAGATAGTATACTAACCTAAAAAGTTCTACTTTTTAGGTTAGTAGTCTAGACAAGTCAATAATTATTGTTATTTGTTTTTATAGTAGTAAATAAAAACTGCCGCTATTTTTATCTCCCCTTTCTAGACGGTATATATGGGACACTAGCGCCCTCTTAATTTGGTAAGATTTTTGTTTACATGGAGTTCGGACTCCTTGTGTAGTCTCCATGTTACAAATAATAAACTCAGCTTACTCGTGCGCTGTTGCCAAGTTTCTGTTGCAACTTTTGGCATTTATTTATGCATATTTGGTAAAAAGTAATTGAGGAATGGAAATATATAATTTTAAATATTTTAAACTTGATTTTATTCAATATCTACAACTAAGTCGTCCCCATTATCACATAGAGGCGTATGTGTATATCCATTTCTTGGATTATACGCCCCTACGTGATAAGAGGGACAAAGTATCTCAATCTACTTACTTTCTAGTCATAAAGAATATTTTTCTTTGCATAGACAGCAATGATTTTGTAACACGGTAAGTATAGGGCTCCCTATATGCTGCTTCACCCCGAAGCACCCGACCTTCTTAAATCTGTATCTCTTACTTTCTTATGTATGTACTTTTTTTGAGACATATTTAACTGACAAATAAATTTCTTAGGAGATATAAAGAAAAAAACAGTATAAATATTAGAAATAAATAATTATAAATATTTTTTTTGCATGTGTCAATATGAGAAATAATTTTGTATAATTTGATACACAATTGCCCCAAAAATTTAATTTGAAATACTTAGTATGGGCATATTTTCAGCAAAACGCATTCTGTAAGTAACGACATCAAAGCGCATAATCTGGTAAAAACAGCCATCTTATTTTCTACAGAATTGTGTCTGTATTAAATTAAAAATAATTGTAATTCTTAAATAAAAACACAGGAAACAGTTTTTTAACTCTACTGAACAATTTGATAAAATACACGTCGCTTTTTGAAGGGGTAACAATGATATAAAAATCAACTAAATTTTAAATTTAATGTAATAATAATGTGTAGTAGAACATTTAAAAATGTCAAATACAAACTAACATTAACCTCCAGTTGCGTATTTGGACGGTTGAGGGACTTGTTTCATGTCTAATAAACTAATTTGGCATTTGTACTAAATGGTTGACATGTCAGTATTTCTCAATATCCCTTTATCCCGGATCACTTAAAACATGGACAATTTTTACTTCGAAGATTATTTTGACACACAAAGGCGCTATATAGGCTTTTGTGCATAACCTCCAGTCTCAATCAAGAACCTTTTAATGAAGTGGTAATCTTGGAATATAAATAAGAATACTATTTTAGGTCACCTGATTATACCAAAGGGATTTTTCAATCTATCGGATTTAAAGAATTTCATGCCTACCTGGTCCTCGATGAGGAAGAGAGAGCTAGTGATGAAGGAAAAAAGAAATTAGAGGAAGGAATCAGTCTACTAAAAATGGCCACGAAAAGGTATGCTAGAAAGCAGAAGAAGTGGATCGTTAATCGTTTTCTTGGAAGAAGTGACAGAAAGGTAATTTAACTTACTAAACTTAATAATACAGAGTGTTTTATAAGTCCATGTTAAAATTACAAAATTTAGTAAAACATAGGTTCTTGGGTCATCATAGATTAATGAATCACAGATCTATTGGGTTTTTAGATTCAGGGCCTCGGAAAAAAAATCACATTCAAATACAGGGTGATACTATTCTAGTCCCCAGCATTTTTGCGGTGGCGCTGTCTCTGCCATGCAAAAAGACAAGACAATGACTGATTCTCTGAAGAATGATCATGTTATTTTTTTTGTCATTCCAATGTGAATGTGAATGTTCAGTCAATCAGAGATTAGAATTTTTTAAACAGACCGTATACATCGATGGAATCTATAATATTAAAATAATGAACATAGTCAATTTAACTTAAAACATATTTACATTTTTTATGTGAATTTAAGCAAAATTGTAAAAGTATGATTTCAAAAATGGAAAATAACGGTGATATACAAGAGGTATACAGGGTTTGTAGCGGAAGGGAAAACCGGGAATACCGGGAAAAGTCAGGGAATTCGTTATTCTTCATAAAAAACAGGGAATAGTCAGGGAATTTTAAAAATATTCATGAAAGTCAGGGAATTTGATGTTTGCAACTGGAAATTTTGTGAAAGCCGGCCCTGGGTTCTTGAAAGAGAAAACTATTTGTGGTTTTGAAACCTTTATAAGAGGTTCTTAGGGTATAAAAAAGATTATGGAGTCCAGTCGAGAAAAAATTTAATGCATAAACACCAATTAGTATGTAAAAATGAACTACAAGTGACCTGGATTTTATTTTTATAAGTCAGGGAAAACCTGGAAAAGTCGGGGAATTCTTTATTACTTTTGAACTATGAACCCTGGGTATATATAAAGGTAGACATCATATTTTTTATTTTATGAACTTGTTAACTTTAAAAGCTCTGTTAGTATTATGTTATGTTGTAATTACAAAAAAAAAAGAAGAAATTGAATACCAATAACTTTTTAAACAAGCAAGATTGTCTTAAGGTAACGTGATTTAAATCGATACATTTTTTTATCCAAGGAAGCTATCCTTGAGGTACGACTTATTTCCGGATATCCTATATATTAAGGAGGTTCGATACATTTCTTGTGGGACAAGCAGTGCGGGAGGGAAGCCTATGCTTATACACGATACTTTCGTTGTAGTACCAACCTTACATAAACTAATTTGTGCGAACTAAATATAATATATACAAATGAAATTTATACAGCACATATTAGCTTGCATACATTTTTCGTGTTTAATGCATGCAATTAACTTTTTATTTGAATAAAAGTGTCTATTTATTCATTAAGAGCTTGTAAAACTATGGATGAAATTTGGTAACATTACCATTGCCATGGCGTGGTGGTAAAAGTCGAATCAACTGTTTATTGCTGTCAACTGCGGTTAGCGCATATTCCGTAAACATGAATGAACATCCAAGATGCAGAGGAAAAGTAATGACTGAAAAGAAATATAAAATGCTTATGAAACAGAATGTGAATTGATGAGAAAAAAGTAAAATGTGCAAACCGAGAATCCATATGATAACTATCAAGAAGCTCAGTGTATGATAGTCAGATGTCCGTCGCCTTATCAAATTGCAGGTTATAACAGAACATCACTAGACTGTTTGTTTTGCAAAGAGATCCTTTCAATTTTTGTTTCAAATTGCTATTATATTGCATTAGATCACGAAAAATGTATTCAATATTAATTTTGTTTTTGTTTTTGACTGGAATAATTTTATAGTCTCTAATCGAGCTATTCAAATATAATACGTCAGTCGAAGCGTTAAATACAGTGTTACCATATTTCCTTTCATTGGATCAGATGTTTGTTCATATTTGTCAAAACGTTATCTATTCATCCCATTATGTCAATAATTACATTGTAAGTGTATATTTTTATTGTTTTAAAATGTTTAGTAATATTTAAATCTTTAATTACAATTTTATTTTCACGATCTTATTTTTAAGAGCAATATTCATGTTTGATTAATGTTTTTTCTCAACTCCCATAAGAGCCTGTGTAAGAGCATAATTTTTAATATCATTTTTCAAAAAAACTGTATCGACAATCGATCTGATATTTTTTCACGAGGCAGTTTGCATATTTATATTTCAATGATTTTTAAAACTTTCTCACCATTTTTTTTTTGGTATCAAACCTCCTTAATACAAGACAAGTAATATTGAATAAAAATCAGTCTATTTGTTATACTATTTATGGTAATACTGTTTTTATATTACGTCTATAATTTTTTTGACTGCCACGTATAGGTATGGTCGTCTTGAAAACTTACCTGTACAAAATTGGAATACAATTTGAATGTTTTTTTTTTTGGAAAAAAATATACATAGTTAAAATTTGATTTTAATAGGAATTTTCTTAGTTTTTGATGTTTGTCACTCTCTAAATTTATTTCTCTTTTTTGAAAACACCCTGCATATTCAAATTACCCTCGCATAAGTGTCACATTTTAATTTCATTATTTCTGACTGTTGATACTGAGAGCATAATATGCGAACAATATTATAGCGGGCAAGAAAGCACACTTTTAGTAAAACTATAATAGAACATCCATCTAAATTATAAAAATGTTGAAATACAAGCATTTCTTTAATTTTTATCAGCACCCATGTAAACATCGGAATGTACCTTTCCTCTTTTGTCGAGAATTTTGTAAAAAATACTCAATAATTATGATTAATTCATGTGTTTCATCAAAGCATTCTGCGGGGTGTGATTGTACGTATAATACAGTACACGATTTTCTGTATAGAGGGTGTAACTTTGAGTGGGGGTCATATTTATACAGAGGCTTCCTTTGACCTTTAGAAACATATCAATAGTTTATTTTTTCAAATTCCTTTTAGTAATTTTCGTACCCCGCCGCTGGAGAAGCTAATGTAACCTCAAATAACGACGCACTTTAGTCGCAAAGTATGCAGAATTGTAGACCATTCGGCGTGAGTTACTTTTGTTGAGTGGATGTTCGCCACACAAACAGTACTTAACAAGTAACCTAGCAAAAAACTCAAGCAGTAATCAGTAATGATTAATGAAATACACAAAAATAAATAGTGTGTTGATGGCTTCCAGCGATGAAAAACAGTAAAATTCACACTTAGATATACTGTCTACAAATGCAGAACAACTGACGTCTTTCTGTTCATCACCGTTTACCGGCACTATCTCCCTTCGCATGCATTGTAGGTTGCCTACAATTCATGTATTTGCAATACATGATTACAGTGGCGGCGTACACATTAAAGTGCATCACGCCTAAAAAACTGACCCCCCCATAAATAAAAATTATGCTTTTTTCCTTAATCTGAATTGTCAGATGTAAATAACGGTTTTATACCTTACAGAAAACTCGTAGAACTGGTACAGTGAAGGGGTATTGTTTCTAACTTGTTTAGATTTTCTAAAACCCTCGTCAAATGTCTGCTATAAATTCACTGAAAATTACGCATAAAAGCGTCCCTCCTTATGAAATCTATTACTTTATGTATGTATGTATGTCGGAGGGGTAGTGGAATTGTCTTCCACCACGGCACTTAGGCCTTATTAGGCCCCTTGTACACCCTCCTTCATTACTCGAGTACTTTTCTTCAAACCATCTTATTTACCACATGGATGGCTTGGTGGCAAAGTCTCGTACAGTTTATGTATGATAGCATGGTCTTGAGTTACAGAGATTTCTTGCTATGCTCTCATTACCATTTATCGGGGACCACACGCGTGCGGCAAATGTTGTGCGACCCAGGTCTCTTGGTAGGCTGCCACAGCCACGTCCCCGAGCCTGCCTTAGGTCACCCATCCAAATTCTAGCCCAGGTCCGTGACCCACTCGGCAGATCAAAATCCGCCGGCCAAGACACCCGGCTAGGCGGTCCCCCTTTATAAATTCTAGTATGTAAACTTGAATTTCTCAAAAATATTGCCGAAAATAGGTCAGTTTGTCATAATTAAACAACTATAACAGTCTTAAAGACTAGTATATTTTTTAATGTTTAGAAAATATAGAAAAACAAAAATTTGTCATTTTAAAATTGCCTCATACACAGGATATAAGATTTGTATAATACGGCATATGTAAATTAATAACCACATCCTCTAAGTTTAATTAAAATATGATTATAAAATATTTTACCTACGACCACTACTGTAAATACTTAACACGTTGACTGCGAGATAATCTCAATGTACTTTGTCCGTGACTGCGATACATATCTTCGGGGATATGTAACAAAACTTCTTCTGTGTGCGGTACATATCCCTGGGGATATGTAATTTTTTTACATTTGACCCTATAAAATTAAAAATAATACAATTATTGCTATAAACTTGCATGTGTCTGTAACTATATATCCTAGGATACTAACGTTTTCATTCGCAAAGAGTTTTGAAAAGAAAATAATAGAAAAATCATTATTTCTAAAAACTACAGATTCTGCAACTTCCACAAGATACAGTAAAAATGTGATTATTGAGATTCGCATATTTTTTATAACGAGTACATACCCCCCGAGGTATGTACCGCAGTCAACGTGTTAAAAACACACCATCTGCGATCAATGTAAGATTCCTATTACGTACGGTAAAAAAATCGCACAGTTTTCCTAGCAACCGCCTAGCAACGGTCAATACAATACTGTTTGTATTGAACGTTGCTAGGCGATTGCTAGGAAAACTGTACGATTTTTTTACCAAGCTGTGCAATTTTTTTAGCGTGCGTAATAGGAATCTTACATTGATTGCAGACGGTGTGTTTTTAAGTATTTACAGTAGTGGTCGTAGGTAAAGTATAGTACGTAATATGCGGTGTAATGCAATTACGCACTCATAGAATTACACACTCGCCGCTACGCGGCTTCGTGCGTAACTTTTCCATTTGTGCGTAAAATGCTTTTTACAACACATTACGTAATATACTATTGAAGGGTTTTCAAGATGTCACAAAAACATATATGTCATCTGTCTTTAAAGGGGTATATCTCCATGTCTGACCAGAAAATATTAAAAGATACAATTTAGGGCCACCCCGAATAAAACTACCCTTATTTTTCAATGTCCTGAAAATATCAGGAGACTATTTATTACTACCCTGTATATTTTTTGATTTCGTGGCAGATTTAAAAAAATATATATTTTTCTTTTAGGTGCCTCCAGTGTATGGATTAGATACAACGGATGTGTCTCAGTGGAACGAAAACGTTACGAAAGTTGCGGAAGAAATAGTGGAAAGTTATGTGTCTAAAACTAAGTGTAATCATAACTCCTTACCTGTGCGATCTGTGAACTCTACGCCAAACAGTGCGGACTTTACTTATATCTGTGAGGTTTGTGATCGTGTGTTTGTGGGAGATCTTCAGTGGACACTTCATAGGAAATCCAACAGGCACAAGAGAGCGTTAGAGAGCAGACATAAGAAACTGAAGAAAAGCTGAAATGTATGTATTCCATTCGTTTTTAAAGTTAATTTTTTTTTATTTTTTAAATAATACAGTAATGTATGATCAGTAAATCAATAGAACATGTTTCTCCGGAACTAGGATTCAAATCAAAAAGTGTTAAAAGACGTTTTATGCAGGATAATGAACAAATGTTACAAAAAGTCATAAAATTAAAAATATGCAGTTTCGTTTATATTGTAATTGCCTAGACATATGTTGATATAAATTTTTCTTTATTTAACGATTTTAAGAATCACCCGCTGAAATATTTCAGATTAATTAGGAAACACCATATATATTATTAGCCTACAATTCGTAAAAAGAGTAATTTCTAAGTTACAATAAATCTATTGGATAATTTTTGACCTGCTACAAAGCAGTGGCGGCTCGTCATATGAAGCAATTGAGGCCGGGCCTCACTGTAAAATTTGGCTCTCAACCGTATATTTTAATACCTACTATTCTACTATTAACATAAATAAACAGTAGGTAAACTAATTTCCAATTACCTACCTATTACATTTATCAAAAATTAAAATAACAGTATAAAATAATTGTTTGAATATTGAACGAACTGAGGCTGGCTCAAAGCTGCTTATACTTATTTTGTAGCTTCAGTTTGCGGTTAATGTACCCGTCGCATAGTACGCGGGTAGTGTCTAATGTCAGTGCAAGGGATAGTACAAAGGCTTTAAAGATAAGGACAAGGCAGGTATTAATTTAAAGTAAATTAAAAACTTTCTTATAACAAAATAAGGGAAGACTAAATTTAACGTTAATTTTAGATACTTATTATATTATCAAATACCTACATAGGTAGCTAATAATGAAACTATCTCACAATATTGTTTTATCTCTTGTAACATCTTTTTTAAGACGTAATAACGTAAACTACTGATCTAAACAAATTAAAGTCATTAGTCAAGGAATGTCTGAATTAAGAAACAAAGAAAAATTTAAAAATATTTTTAATTATGCAAAAAATATTACTGGACTACCAAATAAATGAGGCAAAAATTGGGACAAATATTTTCGAGCTATAAAATGCTGTACTACGAAATTATAGATTATATTTCCCTTCAATTAAGTGGTCATTTTGGGAATTTGCATGATTTAAATTTTCTTGTTTTCTTGTTTTCTTCCTAATACAAATTGTATTGCCTAGTTTTAACAATTCCTGCAACAAGTGTTATTAGTTAGAACTTAGTGTCGATCCCCAATTTTATGAAAACATAAGAAAATTTGCAAATTTAAAAGATGGACTAATAAATCCGTTATATAAAAACATTCACTATGTAAAATATTTTATTAAAAGTGGAGGAAAACAAAAAGCTGGCGGCGTTGTTTTATATTTAAATAGATAAGTTGGCTGGCTACCTTATGAAAATTTGTTTTTATATTTTTTTCATATTTTTTAACGTTTATGAACGAAGTAGGAACAATTTTGTTAATTGTTAAGTAAATATATAACTGTTTTTTTTTCTGTTAATTTTATTGTAAATACAATTTTTAAAGTTCTGATATTATTAATAATATAATTTTTTAACTTACGGTTATAGTAGGGCTATTGGCGAAAATCTCCATAATAAATAATGACGTGGAAATGTATTCTTATTACATATTTGAGAGCAGATTAATAAAATATCCAAATAGTTCCATATTATTTTTTATAGAATCTGAATCAGTTTTTCTATAATATTGTAAATGCAACTAAAAATTTCCAGATGCATTTAGTCGTTTGACCTTGAAAATATAAAAAATTTTGCCTGCGGGTCAATTTTTTTTTTCTTTCTCAACTAGTAAAAAAGCCATGGGCCTCATCTATTCACAATATCACGAGCCGCCACTGCTACAAAGTTTGTTTTTCAAGTTAAGGAAACTTTTTCTGGTAAATTTTGATTCATCATATTTCTTCATACAGCAAGTCAAGTTATTTGTGATTCATCATAAATGTAATAAATAGACCAATCAATAGAGGTTTTGTTTGTGACAAAAATACTAGTAACAAACGAACTGTGTCATCATATAAAAGACAATCTGTAGATATATGCAAAAGAACGCATTTTTTTTTTATTTTTTGCTCGTAAAACCTAAACTAATGAAGCAATCTGAATGCTTTTGGATGCGTTGGAAGTGACCCAATTTAAATTTTTCAGCCATATTTTAAAAGTAGAAGTATAATACTTCAAAACATATATTGTAATTTTCCGATAAAATGATGAGAAATAGGTGAAAAATTCCTCCAAACATGCTCAAAAACGGCCGAGTGCGTGTACACGGTCGAGTAGTGGGGGAGAAGAGGGGCAGTGGATATCAGTATACAATTTTGAATATTGTTAGTTATAGTATATTTTAATATTATTATAAGTTTCATTCGTATTTCGATTCTCTACAAATTGTCTCTTTATAGTATTCAGATTACTTCGTTAGTTTAGGTTTTACAAGCAAAAAACTAAAAAAATGCGTTTTTTTGCATAAAAATGTTTATAAAAAATGTATTACTTAATGGTAAATTTGTGTAGGAAATATATATGAATATACAGGGTGCGGCATTAGTGTGTCGAAGTACGATATTTCTTTTATTATAGAAGATATCAAAAAAGTTAATCTACAAAAATTGTAACCATCTTAAAACTGACTGCATGTTTTAAAATTATTTTCGTATATACAGGGTGTTACATATTACCAGGGTGCACCATACATACTATTTTTAAATAGGACACCCTATAAAGTTAGGTTAAGCTCATCTTTCTCATGCTTCCAATATAGGGTTTAATTACATTATACAGGGTATTTCAAAAGTTATGGTCAATTGTATACGAGAATCATTCCCATTTCAGCGTCCTGTATATCCTAAACAGAACAACTTAACAGTAATTTTTTGCAGACATAACTTTTTGATATCGGTACAGTTTTACGAGAAAGCGCTATTTTACCTTATTATTGCAACAGTTGAATATAGGGCGAGCCAAAACTCGAACACATTGGCCGTGGGCAAATGACATTGTGACAAATTGTTATAAAACATTACAAAATATCCGTTGTTAAGACGAAATTTTTATAATATTAACCAACTTGTTATAATATGAATTTTTTAAAAACTCTATTTCTGTTATTAAATGGTAAATATCTCAGAAATGAATGATTTTAGCTATAGGGAATGCCTTATAAAAATGAAAGAACATAAAGTATATTTTTAGTTTTTAAAATAAAATACTATGTGATTTAATTAAAAAAATTGAGAAAAATATGTGCTCGAGTTTTGACTCGCCCTATATTCAAATGTTGCAATAATAAAGAAATAGCACTTTCTCGTAAAACTGTACCAATATCAAAAAGTTATGCCTGCAAAAAAATTATTGTTAAGTTCTGTTTAGGGTATACAGGAAGCTCAAATGAGAATGATTCTCGTATACAATTGACCATAACTATTGAAATACCCTGTATAACATAATTAAACCCTATATTGGAAGCATGGGAGAGATGAGTTTAATCTAAATTTGAAATAATATATATGGTGTCCCATTTAAAAAATAGTATGTATGGTTCACTCTAGTAATACGTAACACCCTGTATATACGAAAATAATTTTAAAATATGCAGTTTTAAGTTGGCTACAATTTTTGTAAATAACTCTTTTTGATATCTTCTATAATAAAGGAAATATCGTACTTCGACGAACTATTGCCGCACCCTATTTATACAAACTGTCTTTTATATAATGGCACAGTCCATTTGCTAACAGTATTTTTGTACAAAAACACTGATTTACTTAATGCTCTATTAATTGGCCTATAAACTTTTTCATTTTTTTTGTCTGAGGAATGTCATCTTAAGGTTTATGTACCTACTATTTTACAGGACACACTGTGTATTTCAAATTGAATAAAAGAGCTTTGAACTTCTATTTCAAGTATTTCGTGGAGCAATGTTACTTATCCCTACTTCTTTCCTGCACTTACATCTCAACAAACAACATTCACTCATCAACAAATTTATAAATATGTTCTCAAGTTCAAGGTTAGACGTGACAAGTCATTTGCCATTACATGAATAGTATTCTGCAGATTTTATTTTTAACGTTTTCTCTATATATTTTTCACTCAACATAATTAAAATATCAATATGTAAATTTATAATTAGCATTAACAATCGTCACATGGACAACTGTTTCAAGTTTATAAGTTCAAGGTCGGGAGTGACAAGCTACTTGCCGATTTTTGTGAATACAGGGTGATTTTTTTACAAAACTTTTTAAGGTGAAAGAGTGACCGCAAAATCCGCCTGTTTTTGAGACTTTGACAGAGGCGACAGGAAAAATCCCAAAAATATTCTAAAAATATCCAAAAATTCGTCAAGAAAAATGAAAATGAGCATCACTTTCAGTTTCAAAAAATTTCCAAAAACAACCCTAATTAAGGGGTTGAAAAGACAAAAAAGTGAACAAATTAAGAATCATTAACAATTGTAAAACCCCAAATATTTCTATGTTGTTATCAAAATAATATTTTTTCACATTATTTACAATTTTTGTATATTTGGGTGATGATTTTACCCCTTGACAGGGATGATTATTTTTGAAAATGATTCATAATGTATGGGAGTAGTACTTGTGTATAAATTATTCTAATGAATGTATTTCGAAACATTATTTTTTTCATGCATTATAATTCTTTCATGTACTTTGCAGCCAATGGTTGAACTTAGGGGTGGTTTAACCCTCATTTAGGGGTATTTTCCTTCGGATCTAGCAATTGTGGGTTATTAACGGTTCAATTATCACATATAAAAGAAAAATAATTTAACTTTTAATATATATTTTGCATTTTTAGGCGTTTAGGGGATGGTTTCACCCCTTTAGGGATATTATGGGTTGATTTTCAATCCGGACAAGATCGTATCACATACGAAATTAGATATTTTCACGTTCATAATATTATTTTGATAACAACATAGAAATATTTGGAGTTTTACAACCGTTGATGATTCTTAATTTG